TGCACATGACTACCTAAACTCACATCCGTATGTTGAAAGCTTTCCACTCATGGGCTGCACGCTCTTGAGCTTTTTTTTTTTTAATCATTTTCTAGTGCGGAGCTCCCTAGTCATACATTACCTTATGTCTCAAAAGTTAATGTCGTTTAGAATTGATGTTATGGAGTAGGTGCAGAGGTGTCGATTATGGTAGATTGTAAAAACATGAAAGTTTAAAAAAAAATTATATAAACAATCGGGCAGTGCCTATGAAAGGTTGTGTTATCACAATCAACGTCACTGCACGTTGGGAATTCCTGTGCGGGCTCAGTCCTCCAGTACAATAGCCACTGCAAGGTACCTCTTTTGATTGTTCCAATGAGGAGCTGGTTGTCTCCTATCTCGGCCTCGAAAACCCGATAAATAAATTTAAAAAAAATTTTAATTAATTTTCCTGCAGCTGCTGGCCAGCCCGGAGCCCTTGGAGCACAGGCTGAGAACCGCTGACATAGCGGATTTGATAAAGAAGGAATGATCTCCGCCGAGTCAATATTTTGTTTTTGTGTTGGTATGCCGGCTTCTCATAAACACCTTTGTTAGACATTTTAACTGGGTTAGTAGCTGTGAGCTGATGTGGAGTGACAACGTATTGTCGTGAAGGTGTTAGGAGGATTGTGGTAATATTCGGCAGGTTTTTTATTATGTGGATTCTGTTGGATTATTTCGTGTGATCATCTGCCGAAGGAAGTTTTATATGTGAATAGAGCAATGTGTGGTAGTTTCAGTGTAACCCGCTAGTCGCGGATTGCATATTCGAGTGGAATAATGTTCTTTTCGAGGTGTTCTTAATATTCTTTGCGTTTAAACTGCAGATAAGGGGTATAACTGAGTTATTCTATATACTGCTACTACAGTGAAAGAGATAGAGGATGTGTGTATAGGAGAAAAGAATACAGAGAAAAAGGAGATACGTTTTTTTTAGAGAGAGAGAGAGAGCACGCGTGTGTGTATGATAGCAGTAACTTGTTGTTTTTAACTCTTTTGAAAATAACGGGCCCATTCCTACTGCTGTGAGAGTTATGTTTCCAAATTCCGTCTGTTGTATTGGAGTCACATTCCTAGATGTGATCTATTTCCTACCTCCGTGTGGGCTATTGGAATCATACCGCTTGTATTTCCTAATTCCATCTAATGGTATAAGAATCAAACCCTCTACGTGATGTGATCTGTTTTCTAATTCCATTTAAGTTATTGGTGTCATTCCTCTGAATACGATCCATTACTGACTCCATACAAGGAAACTGTGTCTCAGTCATGGATAGATCCCCTTTCTTAACAATTTTGTCAGGGCTGAATCCATCACAACTTATATAATGGTGGAATCCCATCTTTGTTTGCCAGACTACTGTCTGTCTAGGATGCCCTTATCCCCACAGAAATGAACAGAAGTCTTGGTCAGTATATATTAGCCCTGGCACACCAGCCCCACCGCACCACCATCACCCCCACCGCACCACCATCACCCCCACCGCACCACCATTACCCCCACCATCCCTAGCTATGAACCCCTCTATTTCTGTGCGATCTATACTTTCTATACTACTCCGCCAAAAGGTCTGGATCTCCATGCTAGTATTGTTTTTTTGGTTCTTGTAAATATGAAATTAGAAAAGCCATTAATCACAACAACCAAACAGGGCTTGGGAACTGGTCAGTCCAGCTGTATGTTACTAGTTTCAGACGTGGGTAATAGGCAAAAGAACTAGAGAAAGGCTTTACAAGTCCTGTTGGGAAAAAAATGCCCATTATTAAATTTATTGGGGAGTAAAGACTGAAATTGTTTCGGCCACCTAATGAGAATAGATCCAGCAGTGAGGGCATACAAGGTGAAAATTGAAATACCATGAGGCAGAGGGAGACAAGTAAATAATGAACTGAAGGAGTCACTGACAGCTGAAGACTTCACAACATTGAGTATATAAATAACCAAGCACACCCCAGCTCGGTTATTTATCAGCTGTGTGAATGTGGCACAAAGCATATACATATGCAGTGGCAAGGCGTGTGTGTAACGGATGTAATCACTGCTTACATTTTTCACTTTAAAAGAAAATGCATTCGTTTGTACTGTTCATTAGTCGGTTTACTATCTGTTACAACTACGCCACTCTGTTGACATCTTGCCGAGCGCAAAGCACTTGTTAACAGTATTAACATAGGGAAAAGAATGCTCACGGCATGCTTACGCCACTCATGCAGAAACTGTAAGATGTGATAGCTACCAGTTACTAATACATCTATGATAGCTGCACATGCATATCCTCAACAGTAAAGTGACAAGGAGGAAAATGTCACATGATGCGCTGCTTAGTGTAATCATTACCTGCTAATGCTTAATTGTAACCAGACCATTTACACATGCAAATTGACCATGCCTCATCACTGGTACATATATTGAGACAAAAGGCAGATGAGGATTTGGAGAAACAACCTTAACCTGTGCTGGTTACCATAACCCTCACCCAAGTCCTCCATCTCCAGTATGTGTATATATCGAAATGGTTTACATTCATTATCCTGACCACTTCAAGTATATGACATTCTAATCGTATCCAGTTTACAGAGATCTCTGGGATGCCGTGCGTTGTCATGAGACTGTTTTGTGTAACTAAGTTTGTAGATAACCAGCATGGAATGTTTTGTGTAACCCAGTTTGTAGATAACTAGCATGGAATCTCCAACTGCTATCATTTTACTATCCAGTGTTATCTTTTACAGATGTAGTGTTTCATGTTTGTCCATTTATTTATGGAACAGTGTGGGGGTTACAGTTGTCCGCTAGCGTCATATCACTAATACTTTTATCTACCTTGGCAATGAGTCAGTTTTATTCTGTTTGGTCTCTCTTTAAATAAAGAGTAATTTTTGGAAAAGACCTTAAATTACTGTTGGTAAATGTTTGAAGACAAGAGGCTGAAGATCAGAAGTTGCCTATTCAGCACTGAACAGTAGGGTTACCTACAGATAAATCTGTGAGAATTGCAATGTGTATTCTAGATATGCTACAGGAAGGTAACTCTGACTAACTGTTAATGGAAGTGGATGTGTTATTGACATTAATGTTCTGTTCCTGGATTCTGCGGTTGTAACTTGAAGGCATTTCTGTTGGAAATATGGGTATTATTGGTAAGTGTGTTATTTATATGGCTGCGTGTGTCTTTTTTTTCTTCTCCTTCTTCTTCTTCTTTTTCTTCTTCTTCTTCTACTTCTACTTTTACTTCTTTTTCTTCTTTTTTCGCCCTCGAAAGGTTGGTTGGCACTTGGTAATGTGGATAACAAACTAGGCCGCATGAACTGCACCTTCCAGGCCAGCCTATCATGTTTTTGTCTAATTAGTCACCGTTCACAGCATGCTTATTGCGGTTGGAGGGGGAGGGGTGGATATAGTGGGCCTATTATCGCCCTCCCCCAGTATGTTCCCAGACCCTCACGGAGAGCTTGAGCCTTCTATATTGCAGCATGTCTATGAAGGTGCCTTCAGTATGATGGTATGTAAAAACATGTGTCTCAGAAACCATTCCCAGTATGCAAGACAGTTGGCTGTGTGAAGACATGGTAACTCACATCACAAGGCACAGACTGTTGTGAGAAGAAGTACAGATTACAATTTGGACCTTGACTGAAAAAATAGAGCATAAATCTGAGCCTGTTAATAGTGTTTCTCTAAAGACTGGGAAAAGTGTCTTAGACATAAAAGAGGTGGATATTGAAATGTAAAACAACCCACTTTCAAATAAGAACAGCCTCCTCTTACACATCCTTCTGACTGGTTCTGCACCACTTGGTGGTGAATTGAATCATGACAAGCTAGATGTTGTAAGGCTCCTTTAGGAGCGATAAAACTGTGCCAAGGCTCAAAAATATTATCCCAGTCTGAGGAGAAGCTGTTTAACTTGAGTGGGCAGTGATCTGGCCGACGTGCACAAGTAAGGTGAGACAGATATACAGTCAGACTATTCCTGGTGGATTCTGTATATCAAACGATATGGCCCTGATGGCGTGAGTCAAAAGCATATCTTCAGTCCAACTCACTTATCTGAAAGGACACAACGTGTGACCATCAGTATCTCCAAAACTAAAACCATGAGGATGTCAAGAGAGAAGAAGAAAGACCAGACCATGGTGGGACAGCATGCATTGGAGCAGGTCAGTAGTCCAAATACCCTAGAGTTGTAATAGCCTGGAATGGGTGCATTAAGACATCTGGCTACTTCAAAAGCAACTGCTGGGACTTTTCCAGGCCATAAACTGAGGGTTTTGAGAAACCTCCATAAACGAAGAACTTGCAAGAGGATGAAAATGAGTTTACCGCTTTAGCATTGTGCCAGCCCTGACCTACTTGTGATAGTCATGGGCAGGGACAAAACAGCTCACAGAAGCCAGCTTCAGGCCTCAGAAATGACATAACTGAGAAAGGTGGCAAGTGACACCAAGGGACAACCTTGAAACCCAGGCAAGCCTTACAAACTCAGAGTGGATCAGTCACAGAGTCAGTGGTTTAGACATGTATGAGAATCGGCCACCATGGCAGATGTGGTACGCCAATCACCAGGGCGAGCCATGGTTTTCTGGGAAGACAACATCTGACAGTTCATGACTGACACAAGACTTAAATGGAACAAAACCAAAAACAAAACTACTAATGGAGAAGACTGGCGATCTCTCTTTCACACCTCTACACCCCAGTGTAGAAGAGGATTCGACTAAGTAAGAAAGTAAGCTTGCTGCTGAAGATGGTGATGGAGCACTTATGGAAATGTCCCAAGTGCTGTCTATTCTTAAGTCAACATTCAAGATTCTTTTTCTCCCTCTTCTTCTTCTTCTTCTTCTCCTTCTTCTTGTTGTAACCATTAGCAGTCATGGAAGGGGGACATCCCATTTTTTAAAGTTGTTTCCTGACCAAAAATGAAAAAACTAACATCTGCTTGCCTGATTGGTGTTTGTATATGTCTTTCACAGAGAACATACATGAGAACAATAAGGTTGACCTTCTGTTAGGCTTGAGGTGGATCGACATGCAGAACTACAGGGATCCTCCACCCTACCCCGGGCACTCCAAACAGGTAGGCCTTCTTCATCTGTACAGTTCTGCAGGTTTGGTATTCTGTTTTTGTTTGTAAGAAAGTTCATTACAGAACTTGCCCTGTCTGCTTCTTAATTTAGCTTGGCTTGCTTTGCAGGACAAAATTGTCACGTTCAACCAGCATACCTAAAGGGAGAGCTTTAAGTTATAATTGTGACTAGGTTATGCGTGCTATATAAAATGGCTTAACATTGCTGGCCACCAAGTAGCCCTGAAAATGCGAAGTCGTCTACCAGCCAGTCAGTGGACAATCTGGTTGTCAATGCATCTTTTTTTTCTTCTCTTTCCTTCACAGCTGTTTTATCCTCTGTGCCTGTCACCTCCACTTCCTGGGTTTTATTGTTTCTTTCCTTTGATCCGGACTGCACCTGAGGGTGACCCAGGAAAAACTGCAGCGTGCTTTTCATTTTGTTGTTGCGACTGCTCTTTGATGATTGCACAGTTGAATAAGTTCTATAGTCCCTGACACATAAACGTTATTTATCTTATTTAGTACAGTCATGAATTCTTTGTTAGTCATTGAAGATAAACATTGGGGATTTACAACTGAAATGCCGCTACAGAAAAATTCTTACGATACCATGGACCAAGAAGAAGATAAACATGGACATCCGACATGATCTGAGCATCAAGGAGAATTGGCTCATAAACAGCATCCTGTCCCGAATGCTGAGGTATATTCTTCTTCTTTTGTCAAAATCTGCTTGTGCCGCTAGGCGTCGCAGTCTATCAGATGATCGGCAACCGAGCCAGGGCGCGCTCAGTCGCTTCATATGCCGTGATGTTATGAAGTCTCAAGTTGTCCGTGACTCCTTCAATCCATCTTCTTCTTGGTCTTCCCCTGCCTCTTGGTGTTTCGATTTTCATGTTGTATACTCTTGATGCTGGCATCGTTGGTTCCATTCTCATTAGGTGACCAAACCATTTCATTCTTTGCTTTTCAATAAATTTAACGATGGGTATGGTTCCAATAGTTCTTGTAATCACATCGTTTCTCACTCGATCTCTTCTGGTTTTATTCGCAGCCATTCTCAAACATCTCATTTCACAAGTGGTTAGTCTTCTCTCGTGTTCTTTTGTTAATGTCCAAGTCTGACATTGATAACCTAATGTTGGTATAAAGATTGTATTTATAATTTGTATTTTTCGAGGTATATTGGTTATGTTAAACATCATGGTGACCTGTAGAGAATGGTGGTAGTAGTTTCCAGAAAACGATGCAGAGAGAAACCTTAGCGAAGGTGGTTACAAGACATTGAAGATGCATTTGCTATAAAAACACATAGGGCTGGAAAAATTGTCTAGAGACGGAGACACTTTCTGGTGTGCCATGATGAGAGTGATGTTCTGTGAAGGTCCTACTGATTGATGATAATGACATCATATTTTCTACATTAAGTTGATAAGTATTTTTAATATTTTTATGGATATAATATACAGTGTTCGTTGTTTGTAATAAGAAATATTTCTTGTTTAGGTTTACACAAACCAGCCAGGTTTTCGTCAGAGCTACTCTGGCAGTGAAACAAGCACAGATGTTTCACTTTCATCAACAGAAAATCTGGCCACCTCACAGCGGCAGGAGCCTCAAGGAGAGGAGACACAATCCTCCTTCAACTACCACCTGGACTTTGGCAGTGCCGAGGGCAGCAACTACAGCATCCTAGAACGATTAGGCATGCCACCTGGTGCAATAGATTCAGCAGGGAAATTCTCAGATGTTTTATCTATATCAGCTTCAACATTTCATCCAGACAGAGGTTTACTGCTTAATCATTCTGCTGTTAATTCTACCTCCGATGGATTAGGTCTCTCTACAGCTCATTCTCCACTTTATTCTAAAGGATATGCGACTGTTCCGCAGTGGCACTTAGGAAATAATACCTATCTGCAGCAGAATGATATTACAACCAGTCTGGGTGAATACACTTCATCGTCTTCTCGACCCCAAGCAACGTCCTTGTATTCGACGTCTTCGTCAGGCACTGTAGTAATAAACAGAGATGCAACTGGGAATATTCCCAGCATACCACAGTCAAATCGGACAGGATCTGGGAGTGGTCTTGCAGGACTAGCATCGTCTGTGTTGCCGCCGTCCTCTACCCATCAGTATGTGTCTCCACGGGTGCCTCCAGTGTCAACCTACCATCATCCACATCCGTACGTGAACACTCACTGGACAGCAGACAGTGGGGACTCTAGCTGTAGTTCCCACTCATCCTATGTGCCATATCATTCATCTTCCTCCCTCACACAGTCTCAGCAGAGCGTCGGCAGTGTGACTGGAAGTGGCACCATCTCCTACTCCAACCATGATGTGTCTCAGACGAGCCTCAGCAGCTTGCCCCCTCCCCCACAGTACCCTGGGGTACCCAAAGACACACCCGCCATCCTAAAGAAAAGCTCTGACTTTTGGACCAGTCGATCGTATGAAGCTGTGGATAAAACTGGAAGTCCTGGGTCTCATCCAGATTTAAGATTGTGTGCTTCCAGTCCCGGAATTTTCATGCATGAGGTCAAAGGACAAAACTTGCAGAGGTAATTATTTCTGTTCTTGTAATTGTCATCATCACAATCATGTATGTTCTTCTAGTTGTCATCGTCATAATCATGTTCTTTCTTTTAGTTGTCATCTTCGTAATCATTTCTGTTCTTTTAGTTGTCATCATCATAATCATTTCTGTTCTTTTAGTTGTCATCATCATAATCATTTCTGTACTTTTAGTTGTCATCATTGTAATCATGCCTGTCTTCTAGTTAAAATCATCATAATCATGTCTTTTCTGTTAGTTTCATCATCATAACTATGTCTGTTCTTCTAGTTGTCATAATCATAATCATTTCTGTTCTTTTAGTTGTCAGTATCATAATCATTTCTGTTCTTTGAGTTGTCATCATCATCAGTCACTTTTACCATTGAGTTCTCTTGAATGTTCACTGAGTGGTACTGGCTGTTGTCATTCCATGTGTTAATGTAAAATGTCTTTACTGATATCAGTTTTATCTTCTTAGCTGCCTTCATACCAGTGCTTTTTAGTTCTACTGCCTGTTAATAATATAATTAGTGTCGATGAATTCTAAGAAGATGCCCAGATCAGTCAGTGTTGTTACCCACACTCTTGCTCCCTCCCTCCCACACACACAGACACACACATATTGTCTTAACTCTGTTCCAGGATGTTTAGCTATAGCGGCATAAGGGCTGGTCAAGAAAGATGTAAAATCGGCACATCATGCGTTCATAGGGCTTCTAGGTAGGAACCTGTGATCATATGATGCCTTCCTTGGGACTCAGAGAGTTGAAATGTATGAGTTTTTCTCTTCACATTAACATTTTGAATGTTACTACAAACACCTGTTACTATGAGTTTCATCTGTTACAAGCAGCAGGAGTGCAAACAGCAGTGCTGATGAGAATGACCAGACAGTGATCGCCTCCAAGGCCAGTCAGATGGTGGACATGCTGACCAGTGAAAATAGGATCCTGAGGGAAGAACTAGCATTGGCATCTGTCCGAGTGGCCAGGTTGCAGAAGGTAAGAGAATGATTTACCTGTTATTATCTTATATAATAACTTAGCTTGGGGTTGGTTGAGGGCCCATGCTCCTTTAGGGATAAAGGAAGGAAGAAAAAGATATAGTAAATTTGAGAAATTATATTGGCCTTTGTGGCAATTCTGGAGTGTTTATTAAAGTTAGTTGCACATCTTTTACAGGTTATTGCAAATCAGCCACATCATTTGTTGACAGTTTGATGATGAGTTCAAATAGCATGCCATGATCTGTGACAGGAGAGTAGAGTAGCATGCCTTGATCTGTGACGGGAGAGTAGAGTAGCATGCCATGATCTGTGACGGGAGAGTAGAGTAGCATGCAATGATCTGTGACAGGAGAGTAGAGTAGCATGCCTTGATCTGTGACGGGAGAGTAGAGTAGCATGCCATGATCTGTGACAGGAGAGTAGAGTAGCATGCCTTGATCTGTGACGGGAGAGTAGAGTAGCATGCCATGATCTGTGACGGGAGAGTAGAGTAGCATGCCTTGATCTGTGACGGGAGAGTAGAGTAGCATGCAATGATCGTTGACAGGAGAGTAGAGTAGCATACCTTGATCTGTGACAGGAAAGTAGAGTAGCATGCCTTGATCTGTTACGGGAGAGTAGAGTAGCATGCAATGATCTGTGAAAGGAGAGTAGAGTAGCATACCATGATCTGTGAAAGGAGAGTAGAGTAGCATGCCATGATCTGTGAAAGGAGAGTAGAGTAGCATGCCTTGATCTGTGACGGGAGAGTAGAGTAGCATGCAATGATCTGTGAAAGGTGAGTAGAGTAGCATGCAATGATCTGTGACAGGTGAGTAGAGTAGCATGCCTTGATCTGTGACAGGAAAGTTGAGTAGCATGCCATTATCTGTGACAGGAGAGTAGAGTAGCATGCAATGATCTGTGACAGGTGAGTAGAGTAGCATACCTTGATCTGTGACAGAAGAGTAGAGTAGCATGCCTTGATCTGTGACAGAAGAGTAGAGTAGCATGCCTTGATCTGTGACAGGAGAGTAGAGTAGCATGCCTTGATCTGTGACAGAAGAGTAGAGTAGCATGCCTTGATCTGTGACAGGAAAGTAGAGTAGCATGGCTTGATCTGTGACAGGAAAGTAGAGTAGCATGCCTTGATCTGTGACAGGAAAGTAGAGTAGCATGCCTTGATCTGTGACAGGAAAGTAGAGTTGCATGCCTTGATCTGTGACAGGAAAGTAGAGTAGCATGCCATGATCTGTGACAGGAAAGTAGAGTAGCATGCCTTGATCTGTGACAGGAAAGTAGAGTAGCATGCCTTGATCTGTGACAGGAAAGTAGAGTAGCATGCCTTGATCTGTGACAGGAAAGTAGAGTAGCATGCCTTGATCTGTGACAGGAAAGTAGAGTAGCATGCCTTGATCTGTGACAGGAAAGTAGAGTAGCATGCCTTGATCTGTGACAGGAAAGTAGAGTAGCATGCCTTGATCTGTGACAGGAAAGTAGAGTACTTATATTGAAATCCTTGTAGACTAAGCAATGCATTTCTGAAGCCAAAACCTATAGTTCACAGGGGCGCCGCAAAATATTCAAAGTTTTTTTTGTCATCATCAGTTCTCGTTATGCCTAGTGGCACATGAGGCTTCAGAGAGGACTTTCCATGCTTTCCTGTCCTGTGCAAACTTCAATGCAGTTTTCCATGTCAAAGATGCCGCACTCAGGTCACTTTCCAGCGTTCGTCTCCATGTTGTTTTTGGGCGCCCCTGTTTTCTCTTCCCCTCTGGTGTCCATGTGAGAGCTGTTTTGGCAGGTATATCAGAAGTCATTCTCATAACGTGGCCAAGCCATTTCCATCTTTTCTTGGTAATCATACTGTCTAAAGTTTCTTGGTTTGTGGCTTGAAGTAGTTTAGTGTTTGAGATTGTATCTGGCCAGAAAATTTTGATAATTCTACGTAGACATGTGTGGTGGAAGGTGGACAGCTTGTTTGCATCCTTTTTGGTCATTCTCCAGCATTCCGCTCCATAAAGAAGAACTGGCAAAATGATGCTCTTGTAGAGTTGGAGTTTCGTTCCTCTGCAGTAATTGTTGGATTTCCAGATTTGCCTCATCCTTCCAAAAGCAGCTCTAGCTTTGTTCAGACGTGACTGTATGTCTTCCTCTGTCCCTCCCAGTAGGGACACCACACTGCCAAGATATGTGAAATGTTCTACATTTTCAAGTGATTGGTTACTTATGGTCACTGGTTGTTGGTTTGGACTGTTTGTCATGATCTTAGTTTTCTTTGTATTTATTCTCAGTCCCACCATTTCTGCTGTGCAGTGTAGTCTGTTACTTTTCTCTTGTATATGTTCATGTTTATGTGATAGGAGTGCCATATTATCTGCAAAATCAAGGTCCTCAAGCATGGTGAATGGAGTCCATTGTATGCCTCTCAATGCCCTGTCTACTGTGTTCTTTAGTATCCAATCAGTCACAAGGTTGAAGAGGAGAGATGACATAACACATCCATGTCTTACACCTGTCTTTACTGGGAAAGATGTATTGTAATTTTTTATACTGCAGGAAAAGTCTTTATAGAAGAGAGCAATTATGTTGACTATTTTTTCTGGAATTCCATAATGTCGTAAAATTTTCCACAGACCGTCTCTATAGACGCTGTCAAAAGCTTTCTCAAAGTCCACAAAATTAATATATATACTTCTCTGCCATTCGTTGCATTGTTCTAAAATGTTACGTATGGCGAAGATGTGCTCAGTTGTTCCTCTGCTCGTTCTGAATCCTGCTTGTTCCACTCGTAGGCATTTATCTACTCCTTTTTCAAGCCGCATTACAAAATATTTTGCTTGGTACTGAGAGTAGAGTAATTCCCCTCCAATTATTGCAGTCTGTTAAGTCTCCTTTTGCATACGAATAGTCATACTTTTACTTAGGTTAGGGCACCATGGACAATTTTTAATTTAAAAAAAAGGCACCGCAACTAAAAAAAAAAGTTTAGGAAACACTTTTGTTGTAGTCTTGATTGTAACTGACTTACAGAACATGTAGAAGAAGCTGAAGACAATTATGATCTGTGTAGAGGTCCTGGGTAATTGGTGTTCTTTGGATATTTTTTTTCAGTGTGTTGGGAAAGGAACAGGCAGATAGACTGGCTGGTTTTTTCACCACTTGGTAAATTGATGCATGGCAGGATAGATGTTTTAAGGGCCCTTTGGGGGTGAGTAAACAGTGCAGAGTCACAAATAGGTCATTATGGTCTGAGGAGAGTGGTGAAGCGTGGAGTGCCCAGGGGATCTGGCCAGTTTTCAACACTCGGAGAGAAGGGGCGGGGTGGACATAAAATCATACTGTTACTCGTGCCACCGGAATTGGAACTCTGCGCTTGCTACTGAAAATGGGGACAGTGCACTTATGGGAATGTCCTGAGTGCTGTGATGTTGGTTTTTAACTCATAACTCTTCTGTTCTCTTCACAGTTTGAGCTGGAACTACAGAAGGTACATGAGTCTCATGAGGCTCTAGTGAAGTCCTCCCAGAAACAAGAGGCCCTCTGGATGGCTATGAAGAGAAAGCTGGAGGCAAGAATACAAAGCTTGGAGGCTCAGAGGACTGATGGAGGTGAATATCTTCTGTCTTTGTTGTCTTCTGATTTGTGTTGCTTGGTCTGCCGTCTCCTATATGATTTTCCCTGGGCTGTGAGGGTTCTGGAGCCCATGTTTGTTTGATGGGGATGGATGGGTAGACGGGGTAGGCTCACTAGGCTGTCACAAGCATGTCATTGAAAGCGACTTAAATTAGAACTGTTTCCTGTGAAGGTGGAGTACATCTGCCTGAGAGGCATACAAATAAGTGAGATCTGTAAAACTGGTGTGCATGCAAATCTCAAGTTCTGGAACATGACCAAAGTCCAGAATTGGGTGAACAACCAGAACTTTCTAAATATTCTACCAAACTCTATGGAGATTAACATGCAACCGAAGCTAACTACTGCTTGTATTAGACACAGTCTCATTCAGCACATTTATGTCGAGCTGTGTCAGCAAGGAACAGAACTTAGCCTGATAGTATATAGATTGTCACTGTAGTATATTGCTCTAAATTTATTGACTTATCTGCATCATCAGTGTAATATTTTAAAGTGTCACCCATATATCATTAGTATGTCTGAACTTAAAACTAAATCTTCATGATGTCTACAAATTATCTTGATAATTTTGATAATATACAGGATGTCCCAAAATTGTATATGAGCCGTATAAGCATTTTACACTGGTGGGGGATTATGGTTTGCATTCCATCATCTTTTAACTGTTAGCAGGATGCAGTTACTGTGATGGGCACTTTGAGAAATGACATTTTTAAAAATAACAGTTCTTGTGCCTTCTAGACAGTATTGTTAGAGTTGCACTGTGGATGAGGTTCTGGACTTTTTTCAAAAAGGACATTGGCTCCAAGGTCAGCACTGTCCTGGTAAGTATATGTGGCCGGCATGATGCTGACCACATCACACTGTGATGGGCACTTTGAGAAATGACATTTTTAAAAATAACAGTTCTTGTGCCTTCTAGACAGTATTGTTAGAGTTGCACTGTGGATGAGGTTCTGGACTTTTTTCAAAAAGGACATTGGCTCCAAGGTCAGCACTGTCCTGGTAAGTATATGTGGCCGGCATGATGCTGACCACATCACCCACCGAGTACCGATTGGTCTATAAAATAGAGGTCTAGCCCTCTATGCCCAATACACCTAAAGGTGTGGAAAGGGTCCTTAACTTTGCTGTGGAAGAGATTAAGACCTCACCCATGTAATACTGTTTTCCTGAAGTTAGCAGTGGATACATTGAAGGAAAATAGTTACAAAAAAATGTTCAGCTAGAAAGGAGCAGTATGTCCTGTATGTATATAGCAACAGGATGACAACTTATATTAATTAGAAGATTAATTTCTGACACCCTGTGGATGCTAACTGCCTCTGGGGGTGTTATCTCTGGTGGGGCTGTGACATGGTTATTACTGGACCCATGTGAGAATCTCCTGTCTGCATGACTGTGATGGATTTGTCTGTTATCGTATCTCCTCATCTGTCTGTGATATGTTATCTGTAAGCACTTGAACCAGCTTTAGCCAGTTTCTGGTGGGTGGTGGTGAATGTAAAACATGTTCGTTGCTAGCAGTAGGGGCATGTTTGCTCCTTGACTTCTGTCGGTTGATCCATTAGTTTTTCCCGCTGGGCCGATACATAAAGTTTTGCCATTCCATCATGAGATTAAAAGATTGCATTCTGGATGGTGTACTGACAAAAGCTAGATCCCAGATGCCAAGTTCAACCCTCCAAAAAGGTTAAAATTAGGGCATCCCTACGGGTGACACCAGCTAGGTGTAACCTTTAGTCCTGTGTGGGTAAGGTTGTGTTCAGCTTCTACTTAGACGGAATTTGTGAGCTTTTCTCTACTGCACTAACATCTTTAATGTCTTTATCATAATTATTAATTGCCAACTGTCTTGTAGGAAACATCACGACTACTATACCCTGCACACAGCATCTCAGCTGTGTACATCTTTCGAATTTCAACTGTCATAAGAACTACATGTATCCCTTAAATGAAACATAAATTGACTCTGACAACTCCATGAACACTGTATATCCCAACTATAACCTTCGTGGTTCAGCGGGATATGTTTGAAAAATTACCACTACTACAAACCATGCAGACCCAGCTTAAACCTGGTACCGGGAAATGCCATGGAAAGTCAAGGCGTTTGATATGATGTTGGTCTCATTTTCCTTTAAGTACCTATGGGTCGATAATAGGACCATTCAGCTAAGTTTACTACCAAAGTATTGACAGTTGAGGATGTCACGGGCCAGGGAGAAAGATCATTGATACTCTTTTCTTCTTGGCTTTCACCTGCAGACAGTTCTGGTTGTTATTCCATTTCTGGACTCTTGTTCTACAGCTTGAATTTTGCGTGCATATACTCCCAGTTCCTTGCTTCTCAGAAGCTGCACTTGGACTTCAAAGCAAGCACCCCTACCTAATTAGTCGACCCTCAACTCCTGCTTGTTAAGGTGGCAGTGGGGCTGTTCTTTCTCTCTGTTCTGTCTCTCTATTCTTTCTCTGTGTACAGCGATGTACATGTCTCATTACAACGATACAGTTATATATATATATATATATATATATATATAATATATATATATATATATATATATATATATATATATATATATATATATATATATATATATATATATATATTTCACAACCAAAAAGCTTGGCTGTTTTCTGGGTCGGTTTATTGCGCGCAGGATTGGCAACAGTGGAGCGCATTCATGATATCAGATTTCCCGCCGCATGACTTCATGTTTTTATTACATTCTTTTCATTTGGTTAATCCCATCCGTCTAAGGATTTTCCCGACGTCTTTCTTTCCTACCGGGATGTCGGTTGCCTGCAATGTACCAGGTCCTAGGTTGTTGCTTGTAGGTGAACTGGGGGGTTTTGGGGGACAGTTCCAGGGCCTGAATAAAAATTGATTCTTCCATTCCTCTTTTATTTGATTTTCCCGGGCCTTGGCCCTTGCATCGATTTCTCTGGGTTGGAGAAGTTGAGAATGAGGTTTCTTAAACTTTTGGAGGAAATATCACTAGCCTGCGCTTGCAGAAGTAGGAATTATGTAAGTCTAGCTGATACCAAAGCAGATATCAAGATGTACATTAGCACAGCACAAACTCTTGAAGAGAAATCTCATCAGATGGAGCGACTTTGGTCGACACATCCAGTTGTATTTATGCATGTATTTTCCTTTGGGCTCCCTAAGGTCGTTGGTTTGGGAAGTAAAGGGGGCCGGTGTGAGGCTGACTACATCACCCACCGAGTGCCGATTGGTCTATAAAATATGGTCTAGCCCTATATGCCACAATTACCAGGAAGCGTGGAAAAGGGTCCTTTGCGTCACTCTTTAAGCTTACAAGACGTAGTTTTTGTTGTGTTCAATAACTTAGAGCAGGGTTATTTAACTGGTGACCCGTGGGGTAAATCTGCACAAGAAACTGTATAGACAAAAATGTGACATGGCAGGTAGCACATCACGACCAGAGACACAAGTTTGAGGTTTTGATCAACGGATCAACATCATGGCACACGGGTAGTAACCCATAAATGCTCCTTTCTTCTTCTAACTCAAGTCTGAGTCCGAAGAATCGGCACAGTGCACAGGCTATGTAGCACCGGCGAGGATCCTGAAATACTTTGGATAGATTTGTAACTTCACATTTTCGCCCGGGCAGCGCCGTTAGGCTATTCTTTTCGATTTCCAACTGGCAGGGGATTTTTTACGTGCGCAACAGTGCACACGGACGTCCGATCTCACTACCCAGAGACCCGGGGGAATTACAATGTCCACGTGAAAAAATCCTAGTTTACCAGGGATTGAACTCGGAACCCCGGTTAAAATGGACGCTAGACAGCGGCGCTGTTCGAAGCAGAGTCATATTTTTTGCCTCTGTCGGACGGTGGCCGAAGTATTTTTGCTCCATTTGTAGACTGGATATAGTTTCGTCGCCCAGCTTTTCAGTTGAATGCATGGCGTGACCCTGTGAGCTGCGAATTGCATTTGGAATGTATTTTCGACTGTGCCCAACGTGGTGGTGTAAATTGTAGATTCAGAAAATGGCGTGATGCCTGTCGTGCAATGTTGGCGGTGCCCGTATCTGGTTAAAATTGATCGCGTGGACAACTGCTGAACTGTTGGCGACAAGTTCTGCTATCATCAATGATGAACTGCATTTCTAATGTTGGACTGTTTGTGTTAGCACTTCGGATGGCTACCGTATGCTTTAATGCGAGTGTATGCTAGATATGCTGAGACAGCAGTCTGTCAATCTTTCCACAAGGGACTGTGATAAACATTCTGGGTGTTTTTCGTTGGCACAGGAGCGGAGCAAAGATGGGGCGACCCGTTGCTATGAAGCTGAAACTAAGACTACCAGACCAGACTACCACGCAGCTCGAAGAGCGAGAGTACCAAGCTACTCTTTTCACAAAACCAATGAGTCGGCTGTTTCTCTACAAGCAAGGCTGATCACAGTGGGTCTCCTGCCCTCTCTGGCTTTTGTTCTGGCTTAAATGTTTCTTCCCATTTGATCCTGCACTGTAATTGATCGTGCCACTTGTAACTGACCCCAAACACGGGGAACCCCGGAATCCTGAGAAAAGTCCAATGTTATAAGAATGTTATGTTATTAACAGTCCGATAATATTGGACTTTCCCGAGGACTCCGGGGTTTTCTCGTGTTTGGGGTGAGCTACGAGGAAAGTACCGTAACATTATCGACCCCTTGCTCGACTGCTTTCAGATTTTCGAGGATGGTTTAAAAAAAAGGTTGTCATGTCTTTCGATATGGCAGAACAGATTCCAAATCGGTCGTTTCTTTTGATATGGCAGAACTGATTTTCTTTAGATTCCAAATCGGGACTACCTGCTGTGCAAATGTTTTCTGGCTAAACTGAAGAGCTAGCATGTTTTTTGCGCAGAATGCGGTGGGTAAAAATACTTTATGACCATAAATATGGCTCCACGTTATCTCCCGTGTGGTGATATCACAGATGCTAGGCT